GGGCAAGCCCGTACAGAAGTACGCAAGGGTCACAAATACCCTGAGGGTTTTTAATACTGGACGCGTGCCAAGCGGAAGGCGTAATGGCCGTCGTGATGGTGGGGAACCGTCAAGAGATCGACGTGATTCAGCAGGGGATAACTGGGGTCGAGACTCGAGGGAGCCAAAGCGTGAGCGCTCGCGCTCGCGCTCTCGTGGGAGAGACGATGACTCAGGCAGAGGCCAGGGTTATGTGCGCCAGCCATGGTGTTATCTGTGTTACGCAGTTGCGCGGGGCAAATGGTCCGGCAGCTGGTCCGGCAGCTGGTGCGGCAGCTGGTGCGGCAGTTGGCCAGAATAATAACCGCAATTGAAAGGGTGCGGTGAATCCGATGCTGTTGGCGACAGATCGTGTGTGGGATTATGCCGATTCGGGTTGTACATACAACCTTATCACTGAGCAGGCGTTGCAGCGAATCGGTGTGGCGCCTGACGCACCGTATAGTGGACCACCGTTAAGTGGCCTGGATGACATGGGCGAGTTGAACCCTTCCCATGTGGTAGGGCATGAGCGCTTGGAGGCGTATTTGTTAGTGGGGCAGGATAGTTTTGCCTTGGTAGAAGGGCAGCCCTTCCATGTGGTGCAGCAAATACCCATGGGTTGCGATGTCCTCATCGCGTTCGACCAGATGAGGCAGTCGGAGTGGGCACGATGTGGGCGAACAGCAGTATGATCGTGGTACCGCAGTCGCTCATCAGGTGGCAGTGGCTCGAGGACACGGATATCCCTGTTCCACCGCTGGTGAAGGTCATACTGGGCTTAGGCAGGAATGGCTCTCTGGTAAGGCCGGGTCGCGCTAAGCGTCGAAAGATTGCGCGTAAGTCGGCGGGCGCGGCTGTAGCGATGCGACAGCTTGTGCAGGACTACGCGTGGAGTGAGAGGGGAGGAGTCGAAGTGGACTCGGACGAGAGCGAAGGCTCAGAAGGTGAGGTAGGCAACGAACCGGTGGTTTGGATGCGCTCCCCAAGCCCTGAGCGGGTGGGAAGTGTGGCAGTTGGGCAGGTCGGAATCATTTCCACGATTGTTGGAATATCGGTTTTCATAAGGTTTGCGATGTTCCCTGCGGTCAGATTAGACGTGCGGTCTGGGTCTGCGATGCTTGGATCGGCAATCACGAGCAAGGTGACCTGGTTTGCTACAATTGAAGCACTTTCGTTCTGCTCTGGCAGAAAGTGCTCTCTCTCCTCCTCGAGTCTCTGTATTGGAGGTCGATGTTTAAATTCCCTCCATATCGAATTTTCGAAGATATTCGCAGAGCTCCTCGTAACTCATGACGTCAGTATCAACTGTATTGAGATGAGTTCTTGCTGCTTTAAAATGTTCATTGAGACCGTCAGACGGTGGAGCCTCGCGTTTCTCCAATTACATTTTCTTCAAATTAATATTACAAATAAAGGCCTCCAAAGTTTTATTACTCTTCTGTGTTTTTGCCTAGAGCTCCTTTCTCAAACGGCGATTCCTCTCTGGGTGATAATCTTAAATTTGGTTTCCAATGCCTTGAAAAACGGGTACGGTTCCTTCATGTTATGGAGTAATTCCTGTTGAAGTCGTCGAGAGATCGTATGATAAATTGACTCAGACGCGGCTCCACGATCCTCTTGAGTAAACGTTTCACGTTGAGTCTCATAATAATCGTTGTAGCATCTCGGGACCAGATTATCAAAAAGCCAATCCAAATCCCAAATCCCAGAATAATCAAATACTAAGTTTTGGAATTAGGATTGGAATATTTATGATATTAGAGTCATCAGAAATATTAACGGTAGAACCGGTAAGCTATACCGGGACTCACGCGCGTGAGAGAAACACTCAAGTAAATCCTGAGTCTAGTGAAAATACAAATAACGACTCAGTTCGGCTCTCTCAGACTAAGGACTTTCCTAGCTGAGATAACCGTGCTTGAGAAGAGGTCTATTGTATCCTATTGTCTCGTACCTTTCAGCTACTCTCCATACTCTACACTTTTTACAATATCCTTACTTTAATAAGTCAACAAGTAACTTAGCACACTAGAGGAGAAATACCATAGGCGTGAAAGATAAAACCTTTATTACTGTCTCATGCACACCTTGGGAAATTTAAGCAACCGAAGTCAAAGCAGTGGGGACCAGGAAGGATAACCTGAGACGCGGAGCTAATAACAGAGACGGCGGAAGACAGAAGAATCAAAAGGAGAACGAGAAAGCAACTCCTCAGATAGCAACAGGACTTCAGAACAACAACTGAAGTAAACAAGAACGTGTCCAGAAGAAAGCTGGTCACGTTACAGAGTGCTGTAACAGTCTCTAAGGGTGAACAGTGTTGTTATCTAGAAGAAAAATATTAGGTGTCAAGGTGATTAATTAATCAATGTTTGGGATTTTCGAACAAGAGAATCCACTGACGTCAGGCCCATAAGTACCAACACGAGATAACACCCTTATAGACCCACACAACTTAGTTGGTGCTAGTGCCAAATTAGAAGAAGGTTTCAAAGCGAGAAGCTTACTAATGAACACACGCAAATAGCATTGAATAGCAAGCAAAGGGACAGATTGATCAAGACTGCAAACACACACATCGAACCTATTAAGGGTAAGAAGCTAAGCATTACAAATCAGTTACAAGGGTGGCATTGGCAAAGGTGCTCGTAGAATAAGTACAAGTGTTTTAGAACTTCCATAACTTATAAACGAGAGTGTTTGGAGGGAGAGCAAACGTGCAGGGCAATCCACCCACAAAAAGCATTGGCCACCCAAGAAAGAACCTTGTAACTACTACCCTAGAAGGAGAAATCACATGTTACAATCAGTACGAATTCATAGACACTAAAAAACAGTAATATACGTATACAAGTGTAAATCTCCAGAAAGGACCACATACATAGTGATGCAAAAGCAGCATAACACAGACTCCTCACAAGGTAAAACTAGCAAATAGCCTTTGCATTTAACAGTAAGAATATATCATAAACCACTTAATTTCTAAGAAGAGATCGATCGCAGTGAATTGAAATCAGCAGGCAACAAACATACGTATGAAGCCGTGCAAAGGGACAATCCATCCCAGGTATAGAACTCAAAGCAACCACAACCTGATTGGGTACAAAGAATACCAAGCATAATCAAAATAGGCGAGGAACAGCTAAATCATTCAGCTTAATACACACCTCATCATGCGCAAAGATATGTAGACACATACAAGTGCACAGAGCAGTACCATCTGACCGAACACAATACAAATCGGACTACAAGAATATTCACAGGTAGAAATTGCGAGCAACAATACAAATCACACTACAAAAATATTCACAGGTAGAGGATACAAACCCCAGATCAGAATAGAGATAGGGGTATATCTCGATCATGTAGAATAAGCCTCGCACAAACACAAAAGACCGAAGTAGAATCAGATCAGGCACGAACAGAGCCACATACGATCGAAATAAGATTCAAGGCACAAGGCAAGACACGAGAATCAGATCAGACACAAGTAGAGTCCTAAACGATCAAAAGAAGATTCACCAAGACAGGGACTGTATCAGAACAAACCACAGTAACAAATAACATAGAAACGTACCTATGAACATAACAAATACAAGATCATAACATCAGCAAGCAGTTGGGGTTACGTAAATCACAAAAATTAGTACCGCAAGTGAGATCAAGTATCAAATAATACAAAATATAATCAATACACACACAGGGCTAGAATAATAGGTTCAGGACACAGATTTTAGGGGACAACTCTTATTTTTTTTAAACAGTGGCACTCAAATTAAGACAAGCTGCACACAAGACGTGTACACCGGATCTACATCGAAGGTAAGGGGTCACACAACACACACGAGAGTGCCATCGTACCATCAGTGATATAAAAGTAAACAAGACAAACTGACACAATCAGGAAGTTCGGGACAATAGACGAGCTGTCAACGAGACCGAACTTCCTCAGGTGACGTCAATAGGACCGAACTTACCAAGGTGACGTCGCTAGGACCGAACATCTCAGTGAGATCTCGTATGAGAAAATAATTTCTCACATGACGGAAGAAGCATAAGTGACAAGAAGTTCTCACGTGACGGAATAAGCACAAGTGACGTCACACGTGACGAAATAAGCTTGACTAACAAACACCGCTTCTATCCCTCAGAAATATAGGGGACAAAGCACCAAGCTACTGGGCCATACAGCACGGTAAACACTTCCAGCGGAAGTGCAGCAAAGCAATAACACTATAATAGTAAGTAAAACAAATCAAAATTTTATTTCTTCTACAAAAATTATTACTAAAGCCGGGGGGGGGGTGATGCGCGCGCGTTCGCACAAAACGTAACCAGAGTCTTTATTAATAATCCACTAACACCCACACACCAACGCAGACATCTAAAAATGCCAACAGCAACCAGAACAAGCGTGTATGGTGGGGGGGGGGAGAGGTAGTGAAGGCGCGGGTGATGTGGGAGTCAGCCCAATGGGGGAGGCAAGCCCAGGCAGTAGTTCGGGCCTGCCTACACCGGTGGGGGTGCTCATCTTAGCTTCAGCAATGCGTCTAGAAATAGACAAAAGTATCTGTCAAGGCAATCATGTTTTGGTGAGTCGGTTTGTGTCCAAAATGGAACAAACAGCACGGTGCCCATACCAGCTCTGCACAAGATGAGAGTAGGCATACATGATCAACAGCCTGAGCGCCGTATGCCACTAGTGGATGCGGAGCTCAGACGACGATATGACCAAGCAATCAACGATTGTGATGAGGAAGACAAACTCATTGCAATCAGTCTGTACATTAGTGAACTATAGCTCATGCGTTCACGCTTGGGTGATCAGATAAAGGAACTTTCTCTTAAGAAATTACTTGAGACTTCTGAATTTCCAAAGTTTCCTAAGGATAGTTTCTTTAGAATGGAAAATTGCGAAGATACCATAGAGTTCACTTCACAATGTAGTGATCTATTTTTAGCTAAGTCAATGTCTCTGTGTCAGTACCCAGCACTAGTGCGAAGCCTATTGGATTCCACTGATGCAACGGAGAAGAGCAAATCAGTACTCAATAACTTAAGAGATTCTGAGACACATGCAGCTAGGCACTTCACCGATCCTGAGCAGTTCAATAGAATCATTATTGACCGACTCAGATCACATCCAGTGGACTATCTATTGGAGAAGTTTCTCAATGACATGCAGAATAAGAAGATGAACGTCGAAGTGCGCACAGAGCGTGTGCACAAGACAATGGCGATGTTGGAGGAGCGTTACCGCAACATAGACAAGGAATCCATACACTGCCAAATCCTCAAAGTACAAAGGTACCTAGCACTTAAGTACCACGGATTGCAATCAGTTATGGATACTCTCATTAAAGGAGACAAGCAACCGGATGAAAGTGAAGGCCACTTGTCCGACATGGACCACGCCAAGTTTCATTTTATGACTGAGGCACACATAAGCGAGCAGCAAACAAGCGTAACAACGCACAGACTACCACACCAGCAGAGGCTAATACTACCAATGCTAACAAACGGTACAAAACAGACAATGGTGCAAACAACCACAATCCCACAGGGGGACAGGGGCACGTGAAGAGCATGCATGCCCTTACTGCCTAGTAATGCCATCCCCACATCGGTTCAGTAAATGTTGCAAGAAGAAAGCTAATCAAGTCAAGCAGGCTGAGGAGCGACCCAAGAAAGATGTGCAGATAGCAAGACTGTCCATTACATCTGGCAAGGTGGAAGACATCACAGAAGGTGATGAGCACTGAAAACACTGGTGGGCGGAAGCAAACATGATTGACCTGGCTGATAGATTCATTGTAATTACAAATGAAAATGTTATTAATAAATGGAAATGATATAAATTATCAACCTTTATCTTTACTTCCCGCACCACGAGACCAACGTTTACACATTGACATACAAATTAATGGCAGTACATACAATGCACTAGTAGACTCGGGTGCACAACGCTCATGTATGGAGAAAAGTGTAGTATCAGAACTATATCTTTCTGTTAGAGCGCAAACGGGTTATATACAACTAGCACAAACAGATGCAAGAATACAACGCACTGGATCAACAGAAGCTTGTGACATTAACTATGGAGGTAGGAAGACCTCTCAGTGTTTTGAAGTATTGGACTTACCTGAAAAAAAGACACCAATACTTCTCGGGATGGACATTCTACCATACATAGGTATATACATAGCAGGGTTAATCATTCCACTTATACCAACAGATGCAAAATGAGAATCGCTCCTCACACCACATGAAGAGGACCCAGAGCATGTTTAACAAGCTTTCAGAGAGTCACTTACAGACCTTCTGGATACCAATGCGAATATACCTCCTGATGTTCATTGCAACCTACCAGGCTCCACAGTCACAGTCACAGTACCAGCAAACGAAATCAACGTCAGACAAATGAGGCACGCTAAAGTCAACTTTGTACCGCACAAAGGCATTCCACAAACGGATGAGAATGTGCAACGGTGGCTTAAAGACAGTCACATATACAAACGCGACAAGCCCACAACGGTGAACCTACCGTTGTTATCAACAGGCGAACATGACCAAACAGGTATCCTCAAGTAAGTAAGGACATGTCTAGACTTACGCAAGATCAATTATCAAGTGTGTGCATTGTGTGCCGATGCAAACAGATCTACTGTGAACTTCCCAAACCTTCGTTCCGCTTCTTGATAGAATCTGAGATGTAACATTCAGCCTAGCTGATATAGATATGGGCAACTTGTGCTTATTCCGTCACGTGAGAACTTCTTGTCACTTATGCTTCTTCCGTCATGTGAGAAATTATTTTCTCATACGAGATCTCACTGAGATGTTCGGTCCTAGCGACGTCACCTTGGTAAGTTCGGTCCTATTGACGTCACCTGAGGAAGTTCGGTCTCGTTGACAGCTCGTCTATTGTCCCGAACTTCCTG